GCTGCGGGTCGATGGGCTTTGGGGAAGTGGTTGAATCATGAAGCTTGAGTCTTCATGGGTTCATAATTGTATAGCATTATTGGGAGGTGATGGACTCTTGGGAATGGGGCCCAATCAGTTGAAGCTGGTCACTGGGAAGTGTAACTCTGAATACTGTCTAGTCACTAGTCACTCCCTTCCCTGGCTCTTGCCCCCTCTCTCTGCTATTTGGCTATGGTAAGGTTAGCAGCTTTCTCCCGCCACACAGTGTTCCTCACAGAATCACCAACCATGGACTGAACCTCTGAAATTGTGAGGCCCAGTCAACCTTTAAGTTGTTATTCTCAGATACTGTATCACACTAATGAAAAACTAGCACAACCTCTCACCCCCAGGACTTCTTTCTTGTTGACACTTTTTTTGTTCTCTAAGCAAGAATTTATTTGATGTAACTTTGCCTTTAGTTCCTTCTTGCTATTTTCCTGGTGTTAGTGTTCTCTCTGTACCAATCTGTGTCTGCCTTGAAACTTGGAGTTGAGTTTGTCACTCCTCGTGTCAGCTTCCTAGTATTGATCCTCGCATCATTAAAGGACCAGTTTGTCTTTAGCAGGGGCCTTAAACTATCACTAACACTTTCTTCTCTTTGCTTCTTTGTTCACTTATCACTTCGTTATCATCAGTTCTTTCATATGTTCAGATTGGAATTCCTGGCAATTTTTAAGCCCAGGCATTCTTAATGTACCCAAACAAGGATTTGATTCTGGAAACTGGTGATACTACTGTCAGAGGTGGCTTTTGAGAAGTAGTTGTGTTGTTCTAATGATGAAATCAGTATATGCCCTTTGAAAAATATAGGCAAACCTAGGTGAGAAAATAAAGACAGTACATGATCTCCCTGCCCAATAAGCACTGTTAACGTTTTCGTTTTCTTTCTTCCCATTTTCCCCTCCATGCATAGTAGCATGTTTTCATTTAATACATGGTAAACTCTTTCCACATGAATAAATAAATGCGGATCTGTGTCATCACTTTTAATAGTCACATTGTGTCCCATTGCATAAATTACATTGTCTAATTTTACCCAGCCTACGTAAAGGACATTAGTAACAGTATTTTGTTTTATACACACTGCTGTGATATATATCCTGTGCATATTTTTAGTGAATTTACCTTATTATTTCTCAAGAGTGAATTTCTGGAATCATGGTAGGGACAGCAGAGATAGCACATTTATGTTACGCAAATGCCTCCAGAAATTAAGATTCTCACAGCAACACTTGGTGGCCCCTCATTACTCAAATGTCAGACTTGAACCCCAGCCAATCTGATACCTGTCAAGTCTGGTTTTTATTCTATTTTTCTGAATACCAGTAAAGTTTTATTTTATCAGCTATTTGTATTTCTTATTAATTTCCAGTTACCCTTGCCTGTTTTTCTGTTCCACTGTTATCTAGTAAGAATGTTTTATGTGTAAAGGCCATTTACCTTTTATCGTGAGTGTTAAAAACGCTTTTCTGAAGTCGTGTATTTTTGGAAAAGGGTTTGTTGCAAAACCATATTGTTTTTCATTGGCGGCTTGAGACATTGATGTAATTTATAGAACGATCTTATACATTTTAAGATTATACATCTTTCCTTTCTGTGGATATTTAATATTTAAATCTTTGAAGATATTGGAATTCTAGCGAAAGATATGATTTAATAATCCCACTATACTGAAATGCTAAAAGATAGCTATTTTATAAAAACAGTAAATTCATTTAAACATTAGGTATGTGGTACTTTTTTTTTTTTACTTTTTGTTTAAACTTAAATCACAAATATTGTTTGTCTTGAATTTGAGGCACAGGGACACAATATGGGAACTTTATTAAAATTTGAACTCAAGTGTTTTCTCCCTTGGTGAGCATTATTAATACTTTTTACTGTATATGTCTTTGTGTGTATGTATTTTATCCCCCCTACTGATAAGGCCTGAGTTCATATACAAATATACTCTGTGTGTGTGTGTGTGTGTGTGTGTGTGTGTGTGTGTGTGTGTGTGTGGTGGAGATTGAGCCCCAGGGCCTAGATACTGAGTACCACCCCAACCCATCTTGTTTTTTATGAGGCAGGGTTTCTCTAACTTGTCCAGGCTAGCCTTGAACTTTATTCAGCCCTCTTGCCTCAGCCTCCCAGGGTGCTAGGAATACAGGAGTGCGCCACCATGCTCGGCTCAGATTCGTCCTTATATATCCCATTTCCAGCCACGCATGAAATTGGTTTGCTCATCACTTGTGTGGCGGGCACTGGTCAAGGGAAACGAGGGAAACAGGCAGGTCCCACCCTGTGGTACTTGCAGGGCATGGGGTTGCCATGCATTGAGTCAACCCCACATATAGTACCCGGCTCACTGCTGTGATAACCGAACCGGGGATTTGAGGACTGAGGAGGCGTTCACAAAGCATTGTGCCAGTCGTGTCCTGGGGACTTAGGAAGGGCAGCTGATAGACCCTAGGGAGGGGCATTCCCCTGGCTGAGGAGTGCCAGGCTTTTTAGGGATCTTTAGTTTGGCTGGAACTTAGGGTACAGGCAGAGATCCTTGGGGATGCACCAGGGGGACAGGGACTTGCTCAGTGCTGCCTAGTACTCCCTGTGTTGACATCCGTGTTCTCATCTGCATTGGCTTTTGAAGAGACTTGGCGACTTTGAGGCTTGAAATGAGGCTAGTGCACCCGAGGAACTAAAGTGTTAACTTCATTTTTAGTTATTGAAATAACTTTACCTGGCTGCCATTCGTGGCTGCCATATGGAGCCTTGCAGGTCCAGGTCATGGGGGGCCTCTTTTACCTCCTAAGGATTTAGGGCTTCTTCCCCCAGGGAGAGAAGGGTTGGAGGCAGGGAGTCCCTTGGTATTCTAGAAGGATCACTGTAGACACTTAACCTTGTAGGGGCCCAAACTCTGAACCTGGCTGTCTTGCCAGGCTCTTTCCTAGGGTCTGTGAGGATGGGAATGTGGCAGTCAACAAGGCAGACCTTAATCTGGCCCCCACAGAGCTCATGTTCTAGAGGGGGAGACGTGAACAGAAATGCAGACATACACGCGGTGTCAGAGGACAAGGATGAGCTGGGGGCACGCTTAGATCCCAGCTTTGCCTTTTATTAGCTGTGTAGCCTTCGTCAAATGACTTAGTCCCTCTGCCTCATCTGTAAAGTGCCCTGATAATAGTACCTACCTACTAGGTTGTTAGGAGGCCTAAATCCATATTTGTAAAACATTTGGAACAGGCCTGGCTCATCATAAGCCCTTGTGTAGGGATTTAGTAAGGAAGTAACTGCTAAGGAGAAAAGGTAAGTGGTAGAAGGAAACACAATTGTTGATTCCTGAGAAAGTGACATGTGATAAAGACCCGAAAAGGGTGAAAAGATGAGCCCTGCAGATGGCTTTTTGAGCAGAGGGAGAAGGTCAGAGACCAGCATGCCTGGCACGAATCGGGGGATGCTGGTGTGGCTAGAGCGCAGTGAACTGCAGAGTGGAGGACAAGATCAGCAGAACAGTTGGCCAGAGCCTGCAGGACTTCAGGGGCAGGACTAGGTGGATAGGAGCCACTGGAGGAATTTGATGCAAGAGTTAAGTGTTCAGGGTCACGGGCTCCAACCACAGATGCAGAATCTGTGCCTGAGGGCACTGGGGCAGCATTGAGAGCCCCAAAGAGGACAGCAGCGAAGAGATACTGCCTGGGCTTGGGAAAGGCGATAAAGAAAAGGGACAGGTGTTAGGTGAGCTGAAGTTAAAGAAAGGGCAGCAGTGGATAAGAAACTGGATGTGGAGGGTGAAGTGGAGGCAGAGATCAGGCAGAGCAGCTCTTTGGGACTGGTGAGGAGCAGTTTAGACGGGTTTCACAGCCTGTGCAAGCTTTGGTGGAGCTATCTTCAAGAGCTTGAGGGCGCAGTTCAGAAGTGGAACTGGGTAGAGAAATGTTTCTGTTACCTGGAAAACGCGTCAGTAATGAGGCTGAGCAGGAACAGCGATGAAGTGAAAGCAAAGTGGAGCCCAGACAGAACCTGGGAGGGTGCAAGAGCAGACAGCTGGGAGACTGGAACAATCCTGGACAGGACTCCAGCAGAGAGGCAGACCAGAGATCAAAGACTGGAGAGGTAAAGCAGTGTCCCTGACCAAGAAGAGAGACTCAGAAGCACCCTCTGACTCCAGCAGCTCTGAACAAAGCCCTGGCCAGAGGTCCCTGGTTTCTGTGATGTGTGGTCTAGGGGCAGGAGGAAGAGCAAGAAGGGTAACAGGGACAGAGACCTGGGGGCAGAGCACGCTGCAGAGTGCTTTGTGTATAAAAGCTGCTGTCTTAGTTACTTTTCTGTCGTTGCTGAGACAAAATACCTGACACCCAAGGTGAAAGAGAGGAAGGTTTATTTAGCTCACAGTTCATAAAGGTTTCTGTCCATAATCAGCTGGCTCCAAGGCAGAGCGCCACATGACTGAGGGGCAGTGGCTCTTGACAGAGGAAGACCGCAAAAGCAACTAGAGACCTTAACAATGTCTTTCTGCCCCTTTTATCTTACTCAGACTACTCAGGTCAAATAGTACTCACACCCTTAATCCTAGTGCACTCAAGCCTAGCCCCACCATGAATCAGTCACACTCTAGATCAGCCACTTCTGAAAAAGCACGAGGCTTTGGGGAGACTTCTAAACACAAGTCATAACAGCTTCATACCTCTCAAATGAATGGATCCTTCAAATTCCTATTCATTTCTTCATTCTGCCCTAACTCATACCACCCCACAACTGGCTCTCAAATAGTAATGAGGTATGAAAAGCCTCTTTGATGTCCCAATATTTTGGGGCCACAGAGACATTTAGAGAGTACCAGCTAAGCACCAGAGTCTTGATTTAGGCCTACATTTGCAGCAGCATAAAGTTAACTTCTCAAAATTAACCCTTCTGACAGTTTCAGCACAAACATACCTTTGTGTGCGTGGTTGGATTTTAGTGACAGTTGATAGAGAACATAGACTTTTTTTGACTGTGCTGTCTGGTTTTTCTCAGTTCCTGGAACAGGAGGACAGTAACTCAAGAAGGACCCCAACACCTTTGTGCAACTGTGTGTGAGAAGTACTGACCCCTGCAGCGTTGCTCTGTCCCTGGCCTTTTGCAGTATGGGGAGGTGAGTGATGGGCCTAATCCCCTGTAATGCCTGAGATTTTAGTGTTAAAAAAAAGCTGTCTGGTGGGAGACAGAACCTGAATCCCAAGAGGAAAATGTTCGAAGTTGTGCTACACTTCTGATTAACACCTTTAGTCCTCTTGGGCCCAGTGGGACACCTGTCACAGAGAAGGTGATCATGCCTGGGTAGTGTAGATACAGTCAAGGCCTGCACGTGTGTTCTGCAGGGGTTGCATTAAGCCTGGGAGAACTGTGCAGCTTCTGAGGTGCAGAGGAGGATGAATGCCATGCAGTGGCTCCGAGCCTCCATGAAGACAAGAAACCCCAAGTGCAAAATCTCATTGAATTAGCAGGCTACCCCACCTTCAGTGAGCTGTTTTAGGGTTTAGTCCACAGAGTGTAGAAATTATCTGCAAAATAATACAGTTTATCCTAAAGGTTTTTTAAGTGTTTCTTAAAGCCTAACAATAGCTTTAGAGTGAGCATCTCATTCCTGACAAACTGAGAAGGAACATTTCCTGTTTATTTGCAAAAACGCTTCAAAGGAATCTTTCTCAAAACACAGAGCATAACAAAACTACTGTATTGGCTTTGTTATGGGGACGTTATTGAAGATGATACTATTTTCTCCCATTACTCAGTCAACTGGGAGAAATTTGCTTTGGTTAAAGTGTTGAGAAAAATCTTGCTTCTCCCAAGCTGTTTATACATTAAGAGTCCGTTTTTCAGCCACTGTGCTGCTCACATTTGCCGGCCTAGCTTACAAGGTGTTCTTCTGCACCCTCCGTTTCTCTCTCTTTCATCATCCCTAAACTGGACTTCCTTATTGTTATATAGATCATGTGACTGACCTTATTCTTATAAGCTATTTTTAATTCTTTTTGGAACAAAACAGGGTAAAATAGCAATCTACATAGTGTTCTCAAGAAAAAGGGGGAACTCAGAAGTGTCGTAATCATTAGGGCTTTTTTCTGGTTCTTATCACTGTGATAATGTGTCCTGAAGCAGAGCGTCACGTGGATCAGGCTAGTATCCAGACAGCAGTGGGCAGAGAAGTAGGAAGAACTCAGGCCAAACGTCTTGCTGTGGGATCAGCTCGGGTGAGGGGAGGCCTCTTGAGAGCATGTTGTTTAAAATTTGTTTTTTGATATTTCAGAATTGGCATCTCCTGTCTTTTTCCTGCTTCTTGGCACTTTAGCATCTCTCCAGTGAGCTGTCCTCGAATTCTGAATACCAATTTACGCCAAATTATTGTCATTAGCGTCTTGGCTGCTGCTGTCTCACTTTTATACTTCTCTGTTGTCATAATCCGAAATAAGTATGGGCGATTATCCAAAGACAGGAAATTTCAAAGGTAAGAGGTAAACATTTGTTTTGAGAAGGGATGCCATGCCCTGTGGCTCAGTGTGTTCTGGCTGCTGTAACAGAATACCATGGACAGTGGCTTATAGACAGTAGAATTGTATTTCTCATAATTTGAAGGCTCAGGTGTCCAGGAATTAGGGTACCAGCAGCTTTTATGTCTGGTGAGGGCCTGTGTCTTGGATCATAGATGGAACCTTCTCACTGTATCCTCGTGTGTTTGGAGCGGGTTGGGGAGCTCTCTGGGCTCTTATCTGTCATGATCTAATCACCTCCCAGAAGATAGTATCATAGTGATGATTTGGTTTTTAACAAGTGAATTTGGTGGTGGGAACACAGGTGTTAAGACAGCACCATCCTGTCATGGCTTCAGGATATTTGCAGTTAGGTTGGAACATCAGGAGCATATGGCTGTGGGAATCAGACTCAGTATTACCACACGGCATACAAGCTAAACTGAAAGAGGCCCTTGAATAATTATTTAAATGGAAGCGCCTCCTCTATAGTGTTTTAAGATGGTTTTTGAGTATACTTTTGCAGTTTGGAGAGAGTTTGCTTTTTGGATCCTGTGTGAACTTCTGTCCAGCATAATGAGTGTGTACTTGATTTTGATGATCTTCGCTAGCATCCCTTGTTTTGTCTCCTTTCTCCTCCTCTGGGCATGGTGGGAATGCTGAGGTCACATTCCGACATAGCCTGGGAGTCCCTCTCGGCTTTTGTGTGCTTTAGTCTCTCTGTCATTCAGGTGAGGGATGATACTCCACCTAAGTAAAAGCACATGTGTTTTTCTAAACCAGGTACTTGTCCCGAGTCACTGACATTGAGGCTACAGACACCAACAACCCCAATGTGAACTACGGAATTGTGGTGGACTGCGGGAGCAGCGGATCCCGGATATTTGTCTATTGTTGGCCAAGGCACAATGGGAATCCTCGGGATCTGCTGGATATCAGACAAATGAGGGATAAAAACCGAAAGCCAGTGGTGATGAAGATAAAACCAGGTATGTAAAGAACTGGCTGACTTGTAACAGGGTTCTGGGCTTACATTCTGGGCTATCTTTCAGTCCTTCCGTATCTCTTAGCACTGACTTTGCTTCAGAGCTCCCAGCAGGACTTAGCAGGTCTCCTGGTTTCACTGTTTTTCCTTTTCTGTCCATTTTTTGTAGTGTGACCAACACCTTGGTAAAGTATCCAAAAGCCACATCTTGTTGTCCTCTGTAGCGTTGAGCACAGTGCCTCACAATTGGTGTCTACCCTCAAGTTTGCTAGTTGGCATTGATTACGGATAGGTTGTCCTGTTTGGTAGCTATTGGTCTCTGTCCTTAATGACAGGGCAATTTCAGGTAACTTGTGAAAAATCTGTATTCTAGTACATTGGTATATATTTGTGGTTTTTAAAAATTGCCCAAAAATATTTCTAATCATCTAGATTATTTGGTAAGGATGACCATGGAACTTAAAAGAGGTAATATAATTATGTCCAGTTTTAAAAGTTAATAGCATTTCTAAGGCAGTGTGACATGTAAAATTGAGGTTTGGCTTTCCTTTAGATAATATAAACCAGTGGTTCTCACCCTTGTAACATTACCATTTCCGTGGGAAGTACCCTTCCATCTGGAGCACTAAGAATAGAGGCATCAGGAGTACTTGCAAACGACTCTGTCTTGATAATTGATGACCACTGACCTTAAAGAGAGCTACAGATCTTACTAGAGATACAGAGCTTTTATTTTACCTTATGTATGAGCTGGTGAAATATTAAATCCAAAGTATGGGAGGAAATTATCTTTTAAAATGTTAGAGAGGGCCAGGGATTTAGCTCAGTGGTTCCACCACCTGCCTTACAAGCGCAAGGTCCCGAGCTTGATCCCTGGTACCAAAAATTAAAAAAATAATAATAATAAATGAATGAATGAATGATAAATAAGTAAAATGTTAGAGAAACACAAAGAAATGGTAAATGTTTGAGGAGATGGAGATGCTACTTACTTGTTTGATCATACATTGTATACATGTATCAAATTATCACACTATAGACAGTTATTACATGTCGAGTAAAAGTTTTTTAAAAGAATATTGATAAATCATAATTATCATAGCTTATTAGCCCCCATTTCAAAAATATAAGTAAGCATTAGCAAAGATTAATTTTTCTTTAAGACTTAGTGAATGACTTTTAAGTTATAATTTTCTGTTTACCTGTTCCTTAAATTTGTACATATCCCCAGTCTAGAAACATTTTTCAGGGTTGATGTTGATCAAATAAAAAACTCACCACAAGACTGATAAAAAAGCACCTTGCATTTCATTGAGCCTTTCGTACTAGTTCAGTTTTCATACTAGTTCAGTCTTATTCTCATGGAACAAGATGAAAATATTCACACCTTGGAATTGTCCTTTGGAAACAAGGGACAATGACATCATCCTAGGGTACACACCAGGATCTCAATAAAATCAGCTTTCACATGGTTCTCTCTCACTGTGTGCAGAGTGCTCGAGATGGAAATCAAAATACTTTTTATAACACTTCTCTGTCTTAAAGCCTGGACACCTTTGTTTGTAACAAGGCTCTAGAAAGTTGCTTGATAGTTTCAAGCTAGTCTGGAGCTTGGTCTTTCTTGAAATAGCATTTTATGTGGTGCAAAAGACTTGTCTTTCAGTCCATTTGCTACAGATCCCTTTGACAAACCACTTCATCTTTCTGAGTTCACAATCCCTTAATCCATGCTAATCCATAATAAGGAAATTTTGGACCCCCAAAGTCCTCTTCATTTTTAGTCTTGAAGGCTCAGTAACAAACAGGTCCTTCACTTATGTCAGTGACGGCGAATCTTTAAGAGCTTTTATCACCTTCTGCGGCACTCATGCCGCAGTTCACCACCAATGATTATCTGCTTGTTCAACACACATTTGCTGAGCCCCTGTATTTGCCAGCCACTGTGCGAATCTTTAAGAGCTTTTATCACCTTCTGCGGCACGCATGCCGCAGTTCACCACCAATGATTATCTGCTCGTTCAACACACATTTGCTGAGCCCCTGTATTTGCCAGCCACTGTGTTGAGTGCAGGGATATAAACCTGAACAAGACAGGTGCCTTTGAGAAACTTCAGAGGTAGGGAACAGGCAGTCAAGTGAGTGACCTCGATGTAGTGTAGGGATTTAACTAGCAGGGTTGGGAGCGCGGGAAGCAGCGTGAGCTGTCCCTGCCGGGGTTCTGTTGGGACGATGCCATAGAGGAAGGAGCAGAGCTGACATGCGGAAGTTAGCCAGGTGAAGGAGGGGGAAGGTTCTTCCTGGTGGGGTGCCCAGATGTAAAGGCCAGAGTAGGGTATGTAATGGAAACGTTAGTTCAGTGTAGCTGCTGGTGAAGGGGAGGCACTTGGCGAGTTTTGAGGTGGCTGAGAATGCGGGCCAGGTTGTGTTCCTCTAGAGTTGAGCCTTGTCTTAAAGGAATGGAGGAAGCACAGAAGTCTGGGAGGAAGTTAGAAAGAAGCGTTATGAGCCGGGAGTGGTTGAGGCTAGCAGGTAGGGTGTATTGCACGAGACCAGCAGAACATGTTGACATCCAGAGAGATGAGAGGTGCAGTAACATGAAAAGAGGGGCCAAAGAGAGGGCATCTGAAAACCCAAATGCCAGTTGGGGCCGGTAAGCGGGGTGTTACTCGGGAGGCTGGCCCAGGAGGGGCAGGCGTGCAGTTCGGGCTTGGGGACGTTGTGTCTGGGTGGATGTGTGCAGTGGACAGTCGGCACGTGCTGGTCTGGGGCAGGAGGTAAGATGTGGGGACCCCCATGTGAAGATGCTGCTGGCAGCGCTGTGAGTACACGAGCTCCCTGAGGAGGGGTGGACTCTCATGAGGCAGGAAGTGGTTGATGACAGAGGAGAAGGCGTGCGAGTGAACCTTCAGGGCCAAGCTGCGAGGAAGAGGGGCAGGAGCACTAGGGGAAGAGAGTACAGCTTGACCCCATGCCAGCCTTGTCCACTGAGGAATCCTGTTGCCTTTGTGGAGAGTGCAGCCTGCTGACCGGCCTGCCCATGTCCTGTCTCTCCAGGCATCTCAGAATTTGCTACCTCTCCAGAGAAAGTCAGCGATTACATTTCTCCTCTTTTGAACTTCGCTTCAGAGCACGTGCCACGGGCAAAGCACAAAGAGACACCGCTCTACATTCTCTGCACAGCTGGCATGAGAGTCCTTCCCGAAAGGTGACCCTCTGTGTCCCTGCCTCTGCCATCGTCACCATCATCAGAGCAAGACACCCAGAATCCTGTCTGCACATCTAGACTAGTCCCACAGCTGTTCCCTTAGCCACAGCCCACCAAGCAGCATTTGATTTACTTGCTTGTAATTGTAAATCATAAACTTCTCATTTTTTAAATAATTATTGTATTATTTAAGGAATATATGTAGTTTTAGTTTTACATCTAGGAGTCATATAATTCATACACCTTGTTATTTTGAAAAGTCATTCCTGAAATAATATTTTCAGTGAATTGCTCTGGTTTTAAAATTAGCTATTTTACTTGTAACCCCAGCTACTCAGGAGACTAAAGGTAGGAGAATCGCAAGTTTAAGGCCAGCCTGGGTAACTCAGCAAGATCTTATCTCAAAATAAAACGGAAAAAAAAAAAAAAGGTACTGAGGTTATAGTAAAGCACTTGCTTAGCACATGCCAGGCCCTGGATTCCATCCCCAGTAATGCAAATAAAAAAAAGTTAACTATTTCATATAAGCTATATTAGAGCCGTGAGAATTTTGTTTTTTCTTTTCAAAATAGAACCATTTTGATATGTAAATTTCGGGTTGCCTTACAGCCAACAGAAAGCTATTCTGGAAGACCTCCTGACTGACATCCCTGTGCACTTCGACTTTCTGTTTTCTGACTCACATGCTGAAGTCATTTCAGGGAAACAAGAAGGTTAGTGTATTGGCCTTCAACTTAAAATCTATTCCTTTAAATCCTCCCCAGAGTACACGGTATCAATTTATTCTTAGAGTAAGATTTGGGAAATCATATCCTTGAAATACCTGTTTTAAATGATTCAGTGAGTTTCTTATATGCCTGGTCTTTATTACCCAGATATTTAAGTCATTAAAATATAACTCCTTTAAGGCCAAGGATATAGCTCAGCAGTGCTGCGCCTGCCTTGTAAGCACAAGGTCCTGAGTTTGATCCCCAATACCAGAAAAAAAAAAAAAAAATCCCACATTTAGAGAGCATACTTTGAACTCATTGTGATGGAAAGGTTTATGCTCCTTGTCTAACTACACGGCTTGCTGTGTTAGGACCACTGTTGAGTTGTTAGAACCTCCTGACCTCTAGTGAGGGAAATTCTCTAATTAGTTCTGTCTTCAGAGAAGTGATTCTACTTGAGAATTAAATGACAAGTCCATGAAGGAAGTTGGGGCATAGCTTGGGAGAAATGGAGACCTAAAAGTAAAGCATTTCTTCCAAAGCCATCTATCATTTCATCGCCTACTTCCTCTGTGAAAGACACTGTAGAATACACAGAATCGGGTGAGCTGCCATTCAGCTGCTCACTGACCAGTGAAGAACACAGAACTGTAAGAGATCATTTCAGGAGCCAAAGAAAGATAAGGGAAACATTTTGTGGGAGTTGGAAAGAGGCGTTTTTCCCAGGTGAGGCTGTCATGGAGAAATCAGCATTTGAACTGTGCTGCAAGGGATAAATTGACCACACCAGAGGAGGGCAAGGGTAAGGCAGGAGAGGGAGCACGTTCCAAACAGAAGAAATGACTTAGTTCAGGTTGGTAAGGAGCACACTGGACAGAGAGTTTGCCTGAATGATGGCCTGCTAGAAAGGTAGTAAGGTTACAAATCGCATCAGTCTGAATCTTCAGCCCAAGAGCTTAAACTTTGCTCTGTAGACCCGCCCAGTGGCAGAGCATAGGAGATTGCCAGGAAAAGGTAGGAAAGAAAGGTGGCGTAGACAGCCCATCACCTCCTGCCTCTGTAATGGCACAAATCATTGTGGCAGTGAAAAATGGATAAAAATTGGGTATAGGAAATGATGTAAAAATGGATCAGACTTAGCACATGAGTGAGTGTGAGGAATAAAAGACCAGAGTAGATGGTAACAAAAAAATCTGGTATTTTGAAACAACCCTTAAGTTTCAAAGGAAAACACGTACCTAAGAAATTGCATTTTCAATATATACATATTATAGAAAATTATAAATATCAAAATTAAGAGCCAGGCATGGTGGCACAGGCCTGAAATCCCAGCCTTTGGGAAGCTGAGGCAGATGTGGTGCCATGAATTTGAGTCCAACCTGGGCTACAGTCACCCTAACCTACAAAGTGAGCCCCTGTCAAAAACTAAAATGTAAAAAATGTGAGAATTCTTGGAAACTACTAGGAAAAAATAAGAGCAATAGAAGTGTGTTATTTGACGATATTTTCAATGACAGAGATTAAAACACATGAGATGTTCACACAGACTGCATTGAAAAGTTACACAAAATGTTTCACAACTTAATTTTTCTTATTTTTACCCTGTGCAATGTCTATAGGTGTGTACGCTTGGATCGGCATTAATTTTGTCCTCGGACGATTTGAGCATATTGAAGAAGGTAAGTGTCTTGCTTCCAGCTAATGTGTCTGAGTGGAAATTGTGGTCAGAGCTGAAAAGGGGAGCCAGGTGTGGTGATGGCTGAGTGTGGGGGCGCGGAGCGGGCGGAGCTGCTGTTCCACTTCCCTCTTGTTGGGAGGAGGAGGCGGGGTCGACCTTGTATATTTGAAAAACGCTGTGAAAACCGAAGGTACCGTGGGAGATCCCAGGTCCGGGGCTTGTCCCGCTCCCTCCGGCATCTCCCGTCTCTGCAGATGACGAGGCCGTCGTGGAGGTCAGCCCTCCCGGCAGTGAGAACAGCGAGGCCATCATCCGTAAGAGAACGGCAGGCATCCTCGACATGGGCGGCGTGTCCACTCAGATAGCGTACGAAGTCCCTGAAACTGTAAGCTTTGCCTCCTCACAGCAGGTTACTATCTGTACAAATTGCCTTCTGTTGGTTTGGTTTTCATTTAACATGTCTCCATGCATTTTTTTGTCGTTGTTCGTTTCCTGAGTCTGACACATCTTTACTGTGCTTGCTGAGGTACCTACCACCTTCTCAACCCAGGAGGAAGGAGGCGGCAGGAAGAGGCAGGCCTGTGCCAAGCCTCAAGACTGCCCTTTGCCTTGAGACCAGCTGGTTTGTTTTCAGAAATTGGTTTTTCTTTGGTATATATTGTCAGTTGCATGCTTGAGGTTTTGTTTGTGTTATCCTTTCAATCACCACTTTTCTCAAGAAAGTTTTAAAAATTTAATACCATAGCATCAGATTTTTAAAGTTGTCTTTGGGGGAAATCCTTTGTTATTTTTATTTTTTCCATGACTCAGTCAGGCTTGGACTTTTCTGGAAAGGATCAAGATTAGTGTCCACTGATCCCAGGGCTTTATTCTATCTTTTCTGCAACCACTGCTTCAGGACACTCTGTCAGCAGTTACAGAATAGGTCCTCAGTAGGCTGGGCGTCCTGACTTGCTCTGTGTCTCTGAGACGCTGTTTCTGTCCAGCTATAAGTTGCCACCACAGCCTGGTCTCCTGCATTGTCGCGCAGGAGGCAAGGACAGCACAGTGTGGAAGCTCACAGACTGTGGAGCTGGACAGGCTTACACCTAGGCCTGTCACCTATTATGTGACCTTATGCAAGTCACAGAAGTTCTTTAAACTGGTTTCTTCCTTAAGTATGAATGAAAGCCCCTACAGCAGAGGTCGTTACAAGCTTATGAAATAATGCATCTAATATATCTAATGCACTTTCAGGCACCTAGTATTGCTTAGTAGGTGCTGTGAATGTCTTTATTAAGCTCCTTGGAAAAGTGCTTTGTAAATTCAGGTATTAGAATATGTATTTCCTACTTTCCATTCCAGACATGACTATACAAACTATTAGACTCTATAAAGATTGTATTTTCCCTCCTTAAAAGAAAGTAACAAGTATATGTAAAGGAATTTCGAGAAAACCTGAAAAACAAAGACTTAAAATTTCCCATAGATTCATCACCCAAAAAATTAGTAGCATTTTGATAAATTTCTTTTCATTCATTTTTCTCTATTTATGGATTTTAAATGTAGGTATAATTTTACTCTGTATATGATTTTTTGTGTCCTTTAGTTAACACTGCATAAGTGTGTTATTCTGTAAACACTGGTTACTCTGATTAATTTGACCCTACCTTGATGTTATACATTCACGTGACATCCTTTCTGTTTTTTTTTAATCATAGAATTGCAAAGGTCATTTGTGTATATAGAGAAGTTTCTGTATTTAGGTCTATTTCTACAGCTTAGGATTTCATACATTTACAGGGTCAGAGGGTACGAGCTGTTTTGTTGACTTCTTCCTCAAAGTCATAACAGTACTACCAGTGTGCAGCCCATCTGAAATTTCCCAAGTCAGAATCATCATTGAATTATAAAGAATACTTAAGCCAGGTGTGGTGGCGAAGTCCTATAATCCCAGCACTCAGAAGGCTGAGGCAGGAGGATTACAGCAAGTTCAAGGCCAACCTAAACTGCATAGTAAAACCCTGTCTCAAAAAACAAAACAAAATTAAAAAAAGGATATTCAGAAGAATCCTTGGGAAACATAGAAGAAATTTTTCTACTCTTAGGTGACTTTTTTAAAGCTCTTATATTTAGCAAGAGTTAAAGTTGCCTTAAAATATTAAAATTTGTCATCCTATGTCTGCAGGAGGAAGTAGCTAAAAACTTGTTAGCTGAATTTAACTTGGGATGCGATGTGCACCAAACTGAGCACGTGTACCGGGTCTACGTTGCCACGTTTCTTGGGTTTGGTGGTAATGCTGCTCGACAGAGATATGAAGACAGACTGTTTGCCAGCTTGTTTCAGAAGAACAGGTGAGGTACCTCCCGTACACAGCAGTCCCTTTGGACCAGGTCTCCCACATCAAACACAGACCCAGGCCCAGCAGGGAGAGCTCAGTCAGCAAATGCGTTGGCCCTGGGAGCTTTCTGTCCACCCCTGGCTGAGCTGGGAGAAGGAAGGAGAGGTCATTGCCTCCTGTCAGGCTCCAGAGGAGTCTCTTGTTTTCTCTTAGACCTGTGCCTTACCTGTTAGAATAGAAAATTCGCCAGGCCAGAGCAGCAGGGAGCCCTGGTGACGTCACACCTGGGAACACAGGCTGTGACACTGCTGGTGTCTGAGGCCCTTGGCTTGTGAAGGTGGAACTAGGTGGTGTTCCTGCTCCGGAGACATGCAGCCTGTGAGCCGGTCAGTAAATGGAAACCGAGGGAAAGCGCAAGGAATGATCTTGAATGAGTTAGGGATTTTGAAACATTTTAGCAGTGAAACTTCAGAAATGAGTGTGTGTAAATTCCTGGTATACAGAACGTGTAAAACAAAAGCAGAATTCTATTGATTTAAATTTTTTTCAGTATATAGCAATTACTTATTTGAAATTTGCATAAGAACAGAAAAGCTGTTTGAATGAATTAAAAAATCTGAATCTGGTATCTTGTAAGATCTTATTAATTATTTTGTCTTATTTGTTTTGATGAAATAATTTTGAGAGAGAAAAAAATCCTAATTAGAGCTAAGTGATAACATCCTTCCTGACTAACTTAGTAAACTTATAAGGGCCTGAGCTTCAATAAAGACTATGTTGGAGCTTTTCAGCACCACATCTGCTAGAAATTCAGGTGTATAAGTATGAAAAGCAGTAAAAGCTGCCCTGTGTCTACTCTGAAAGTTAAATGCTGCTAACGACGACATTGGTAGTGCATTTTGTAGTCACTGTCTAGTATGTTTCTGTATAATTATTTTTTGTACTATTTCAAAAAGAGAAGTATTTTATAAATAACACTTGAATCGTATATCCACAGACTTACTGAGACCTTTATTTTTACTAATTGGTTCTATTACCAAGTTTTTAAAAAATCTGTATAGCAGACAGTTCAGTGGCCCTTCTCAGAGGCAGGACAACTAACGCAGTAGCAGGTGTCTGTTGTCTACTGTCGGACTCTGATAATAATTACATGTGTTTCATATGTCATAAATTGACACATCTCTCTGCCGTGTGTAGTGGCGATTGGTTTCTAAATGAAATGTTTTATGGCATGGATCTTTATTGGTTATTTTCATGTATATTATGAGTTGCCTGATTTGAAGAGCACATAATTTGTTAGTCGAGTGGAAAGGAGAGACATACTGTCAGTGATTTTAGCTGGAATCAGAAGCATCAGGCAGCTGCATAGGTTGTTTCTGTGGACTTGGTTATTGGGCCTGCTACACATGAATGTATACTGGGGTCTCCAGCAGGGGCCAGGATGCCAGGTTTCCTGACTTGACTGTCCCAGCCCCTTTGGGTGTTCCCACAGACACGGTCCTGCGACCCCCAGGGTCCACAGAGCATTTGCAGAAACACTGCCTTGCAGCCACTTCCCTAGCACACAGTGGGATGCAGGGCTCCTGATGAATCTGCCCTTTTGTGCTATAGGCTGCTGGGCAAACAGACCGGTCTGACTCCTGAGGCTCCTTATCTGGACCCCTGCCTGCCCCTTGACATTAAAGATGAGATCCAGCAAAATGGGCAGACGATGTACCTGCGAGGGACAGGAGACTTTGACCTCTGCCGAGAGACCCTCCAGCCTTTCATGAACAAAACCAATGAGACACAGACTTCCCTCAATGGGGTCTACCAGCCCCCGATTCACTTCCGGAACAGTGAATTCTATGGCTTTTCTGAATTCTACTATTGCACCGAGGATGTGTTACGCATGGGAGGAGACTACAATGCTGCTAAATTCACTAAAGCTGCAAAGGTAACCTTCCAAGAAACCAGCTTCCCTCACGTGCTTTTGAGAGACCTGTGTGGACAGGGGCAGCTCACAGGCTCCCTTTACTCTCGGAGAGAAAGGTAGATGGAGCGTGGGAGGTTGTGGTGCAGCATGGAAGAATCCTGTGCCTGAAAAGTCCACTGTGAGCTTAAGCCAACATCTGCCCAGCACTCAGGACTCTCCAGATTAGGGCACAGCCTTAGCCGCACATGTCACCCTCCATCAGCCCCATCACGTCCTGTGCGGCTTCTCCCTGGGCTCTGGTCTGCATTCCTGATGGTCTCCTTCTGACCCTCTCGCCCAGACTGCGCGCACCCCCTCTTCTCTGTCCCTGTCCCTGTCCCCCTTGCCATCTGGCAGTGTTTCCTTGGGGTCTTTCAAAGGTTTCCCCGTCTTACAGGTGACCCCAGATCTCCGCCCGTGGCCTACTGCCCTCAGCCCTGCCGTGGTTAGCCACTGTCCCTCAGCTGCCCACATGCCTGCCAGATTTCACAGCTCCACACCCACCATTTTCTTCCCCCTCTGTCCTTGTTGTGCCATCCTGGTTAATGGTATCATCAGTTTTGCAGCCCTCCAAAACCTAGGATTTAAAAAAAATTGTTAGCCTTTACAATTTTTTTGGGGGGGTGAATTTGTTTTCAGGATTATTGTGCAACAAAGTGGTCGATCTTGCGGGATCGCTTTGACCGAGGATTGTATGCATCGCATGCTGATCTCCATCGGCTTAAGTGAGTAGTGGACAGGCAAACCTCAGAATGCCTTTTTGGTGGGGGGTACGGGATCAAATTCTGTACTTTACACTTGGAAAGCAGGTGGTGGCACCACTGAGCTAAATCCCTGGCCCCTCAGAATGCTTTTAACAAACCGTCAGCTCCCTCTAGGCCACTGTCTGCCTTTTCATCCTCCTCAGTGACTGCTCCTCAGTTGCCCTCAGCTGCTTTTCGGTGGGCAGATGCTTGTTTCAGGCATAGCCTGTATTTTTGGCTCAGTTTTGCTGTTCCTTACCCCCAGACTTCCACGTTCATACCTTTGCTTGCTCAAATCCTCCCTAGACATTGGAGTCAGACAAGACTCTGGCCCTTTCCAGCCACCCTGTGTTGACAGACGCAGCCAGATGCATTCCAGTCTGAGAGACCAGAACGCTCAACATACTCCTTAATTACTTTGCCCTCTTCTGCTTTGGTTTCAGCTATTTGTTGGATTTTTTTTTAATTCCCTTATATTGTTAGTCACCTAGGTATGGTGACCATATCTTTCATGTATACTGTATCTTATTATTTGCTTAGCACAGTGCTTTGAAAAAAAATGGACCGTAGAATACCAGAACCGAGAAGGACCTTCCTGCCTTCTCATTTTAGCATAAACTGAGGTCCAAAGGGGTTGGAGCTTGCACAGTATTCAATAAATAACTGATGGATTGTCTAACGGCAGAAAGGAAATCAGTCATGGTAATGGACTAAATTATAGCGAGACCAAATGTCACAAGCTGTTTGACTTTGATGGGTTTGCTGTTGTGTGTTGCGGCACCTGGCTCAGGTGGGGTGAATCAGCTTGAAAAGTGTGCAGGTGGCTTGGCTGCTCAGAGCCGACCTGCTAGAGCCCGTGCGATCTGTGCTGGTGCCGCTCTGACACAGGCGTGGGTCTGACTCCTGTTCGTGCTTGTTATTTGCAGGTATCAGTGCTTCAAGTCTGCCTGGATGTTTGAGGTGTTCCATAGGGGCTTCTCGTTTCCCATCAGCTACAGAAACCTCAAGACCGCCTTGCAGGTGTATGACAAGGAAGTGCAGTGGACCCTGGGGGCCATCCTCTACAGGACCCGCTTTTTGCCCTTGAGGTAGGCTACTGATTCGGTAGGGAGAATCACAGAAGGGGCTGTGCTGCGATTCAGTGCCCCGTGGCAGCTGCCATGGGAACGTATAGAGTGCTGCTGTCCCGGCTGCCTGTGGGCGGGATATGAAGTCTCCTCACCCCACAAGTGCTTCCTCCTGCCCCTTCCTGTCCATCCGCCACAGGCAGCATTTCTGGGCTGCTGCCTGCCTTTGGCTATTGTCCACTGTCTACCCTGACCCTTGCAAGAGAGTTGATGAGGGGGTTCCTGAAATTTGTGGCCTTGGACTTCTTTCTCAAATGATGTTTTGCAGTGCATAGTGTAAATACATAAAATTACAGAGGAAACATATTTAAATACATTGATCAAACTATTACAGAAAACAAAATTGTGATATAGTGATACCTATTTTTATTAAATAACAAGATTGGGCACCAGAACTGGTAGTTTCTGCCATATCAGTGTACTGATGAGTGGCCACCATAGTTTGAGGCATTAGCTACTATGATGAGATATTTTTTAAATGTACATTTTCATTAGTAAGAAAGTCTCAGCCCTAATACTACAGTAGTTTATTATCTGTGCTCTTGTTCAAAAGAAATACTAGATTTTGGTCTGGGGGTGGCAAAATAAAGATGTACATTTTACCCCATTCGAGTTCATAGACCCTGCTAAGTGGACCTGAGGGTAAGAACCCTGGTTAACTGATACATGAGATACTAGCTTTTCTCCCTGCTTCATGGAGCATCTTCGAGCAGTACTTTTAGTTGGGCTAACTGTAAAAATTGTGTGCGGTGGATATCACAAACATGGCTCCACACTGTGTTGATGCTTCCCTGCTCAGATTTTTGTGATGCAGTTGTAATGCCAGTAAGTGTGAGGAACTTATGAACAAGCTTTCCCACGTTAACTCACTAAGATCTAAGAGCACCCCACCTTGGGTCATACTCTGCTCCACTCCGGAAGTAGCAAACTGAGACTCAGTGAGCACACTGTCAGCCCTTCTGCAGAGCTGGGCTCACGGCAGGTCCTGCTCCCTGGTTCCTGAGTAGTTTCTTCCCCCGCAGCCCTCTTACCATCCTGTTTTTTGTCTCTGTGCGGCAGAGACATCCAGCAGGAGGCGTTCCGGGCCAGTCACTCTCACTGGCGGGGTGTCTCCTTTGTGTACAACCACTACCTGTTCTCCGGCTGCTTCCTGGTGGTCCTGCTCTCCATCCTCCTCTACCTGCTGCGGCTGCGGCGCATTCACCGGCGCCCGCTGTGGGGCGGCTCTGCAGCTGCGCTCTGGATGGAGGAAGGCCTGCCCTCGCAGAAGGGTGCTGGCGCCCTGTGAGGAGGCGTCCTGCTCCCGGAAGACTGTCTTCAGGAAAAGCCATTTTTGCCTCAGGGTTCCTCCTCTGTATCCATGGTGGTTTTGTTTTTCCTTTCCCTTTTTTTTGTTCTTTAAAATGAAATCATTGGTTGGTAAGCCCTGCTGTCTGGAAGCACTGCATTTAGCCATGTTTTATACAGCTTTAAACTGAGGAGTAGAGAAAAGGGAAGCTCACTCGAGTTTTGCCGCATATCCAAATGAATAGGATACCTGCCAAAATTAGTAAGATTTTGGGTTTTCTTTAAGGCATGTTGTCAGCAGATGCACTTTGATATTGGAGGAAATGGGAAAGATGCTTTCTCTCGGTGAAGATGGGACTGGAGAGCAGTGTCCTCTAGAACCAGAAAGCCAGTTAGGGTCCTCTATCTCGTCTGTCCTGAAAGCTCCACCTAAAGAGGGCGATGTTTCGTTTTTATGTGTTGTTAGGTCTGTCACCGAATGTGCTCTTTACAGATTTAAAAATTGCAAATCACTCATATCTGACGTAGATAAACATAGGCACCAGGCAGTTTTAAAGCTCATAGCGAAGGAACATGCAAGATGTGAACTACTGACAAGAGCTTAGTGTGTGTGAGGGATGGGGAGGCCCAGGATGCAGGGCTGCGGGACTGATTCCTGCAGACACACACGCTCCGTGGCACCCACGCCCCAGTGCTGTTATCTTTTCCCAGCCACATGTCATTACTTTCTTTATCCTTTTTTTTTCAGCAGCCTTAGAACACTTCACTTTTAAAAGAATTGGAAAATTCATGAAGCTTCATTGGTTTTAGCTATGTGAGAATAAGGCCAGTGTCCCTTCCAGGCGCCTTGATATTTCTTAGGATGCACCTCTGCTGCCTAACTGCTCCATTTTCCTCCAGCTTCAGGTTGGCGTCCCCGGTCCCCTTCATTAGGAGTCATCTCCGCAGTGTCGTTTGGGAGCCCCTGCATTGCTTGGCCGGCTCTGATTATCCCTGTTGTTCCTACAGCTGTCCTGGCAGTGCCAGGAAAGAGTCTGAATTTCATACAAGAAATAATTTACGTTTGGGGGAAACAAATTTAACATTTTAAGCAAAAATCTAAAAAAGGACAACTGAATTGACATACGTAAGACTTTTACGTATTTAGTTTGGGAATTTGGGGAATTCTCACACGCGGTTTTTTGTTTTTTGGAGTGTGTGCATGTGTGTACACATACGCAAACATTTCCTAACACCAAGACAGGTTAGTTTATGTAGTTGGTAGCAAGTGTGAGTTTTAAGAATCATTAGCTGCTTATTAAGTATCACTTATTAAAGAATTTAGATTCAGAAGCCCTATTAACTTAGAAAAGTGTTAGTCCAGCTCTGCAGTTTTGGAGACAGAGTGGAAGCAATCCCAGAGGAGCTCTGCCTTCAGCCTGCCCTAAGCACCACTGCTGAGAACCCTCCCCAATCTCTGGGAGAAATCCCCAGACTAGGGTTCCAAGGCCCAAGCCCCCTGTGCTTGGTAAGCACCTGTGTTCCTCTGACAGCCTCCTGAAGCAGGGCTTGGCAAGCTGCTACAAATCTGAAAGGCCTTTGAAATAAGAACATTTTTCAATTTTGAAAGGATTGTTTAAAAAAAGGTTGAAGAACATTTGCATAACAGAGACTGGATGTGGCCTGTAAAGCCTAAACTATTTACTAAATGGCCTTTTTTAGAAAGTTTGCTGACTGTGTGAGTCAGCTTTCCATTACTATAACAAGAGCCTGAGATAATCAATATAAAGGGTTCGTTTTGGCTCCCATTTTAAGAGGTTTCAGTCATGGTCATTTGATCCCACTGTTTGGGCCTGTGATAAGGCAACAGTCATGGCAGTGCAAAACCCATCACTTTATGCCTGGTGCAAAAGACAGAAACAGAAGGGCTGAGGCCCCACAATCAATTCAAAGGCAAGCACCAGTAACCTGCAGACCACCCACTAGACTCCACCCCTTAAAGGGTCTGCTACCTCCCAGTAGTGCTAAGCTGGGGACTAACATGGCTATTGGAGGGCAGCCTAGATCCAAACTGACAATCTGGACCGCTCCCCCACCCAAAAAAAAAAAAATAGTCTGACCCCAGGAAGGAGTCAGGCAGCAGCATCCTCTTAATTCAGGAACATAGTTACCATTCATGGGCAAGAAAAGTGACCACACTTCAATCTTAAAGTATTTACACACCAGAATTTCACTTATCTTCCTTCTAGATTACTTTCAAGATGAGTTTTCTACCAAACCAGGAAACCTGCATGTCCCAGTTTGTTTAGAATATGCTATTCAGGGAGCTCAGCATTTGTTCAGAGCTGTCTGCAGCCACAGCGAGTTGTATTCCAGGAAGGACTTGGGTAGTTTCCCGCAGCACTGTGTACCCCATGGAGAAGAAGTGTGCCAAGTGCTTCCTCTAAGTGATGTGGGGATGGGTGAGATGGCAAAGGGGAAGAACCAAGTCATTCCAAGGCTAGCCAAGAAGGCAGGCAGCACTGTAGAATTGCAGAGAACAGAAGAAACTGGATTGGGAACTTTATAAAAGGCTTGTCAAAAAAATACATTCTGTTTGTTCCACAGCTGTGCCCGGTGCTTCTCCATTTTAAAGGGGTATTCTCACGATATATTACAGTCTGTATAGGGATAGGGACAGGGACATCACAGTAAACGACACATGTGGATTTGCACCCATGCCCTTTGCACACCTCCCCTAAGCTAGCTGTAGGCAGTGCTTTACAGCTCAGGGGCCAGGTGCCAACCGTGCTTCTCGGGGCCTCATCCCCACCCGTGCACGCTTGAAGAGCCGATATTTACATTTAACACTCGGGCCTACATGAGGTTGCTTTCTTTGTAAGGTGCATGTATACTTAGCAAGAAACTTAGAAAGGCAGATGCATTTTCTAAGCTTTAAAAATAAAGTCAGCTTTAGAATTCTGTGCGGTAATGTGCAATGCAGCAAAACTACCTTTAGTAAATTATTTATTTCATTGTTTTGTTTTTTATGATGTTGAGTTTTCCTTTCAGTGAATAATGTGAGCAGCCTAGAACTTTGTTCTGTTACTGAAATTACAGTTTGCAGGTACAGATTAAGAAAATTAAGGGAGCATCTGGGTGTGTACATGTTTTTTGTTTCACTGATGCTTTTTATTCAAAGTAAGAATAATGATCGCTTTCCACATCTGGCAGCCTGGTGTTACACACTTGCACAAGGGTGTTGAGACTAAAATTAAGGTTTGTGCAGTGGCGCATAGACTCAGTGCTTCCTTGTGATTCACAGAGTTCTGTCCTTTGAATCTTCTTGTGCGAATGATTAGTTGAATTTGAGTCTAAATTCAGAAAAATAAATTGAGTCTGAGTACAGAGCATCTGTGTCATTGTGCTGCATGTGTGTACAGTGAAGCGCAGCGTTAGGGGCTCACACAAGAAAAACCAGCTTTCACCCATTTACCTGTGTCAGGTAAGCGAAATGGCGCTCGCTGCATTGGTTTGGCAGATTTAAAATGGAGTTGGGAGGCCATTGCTAGTCAGATCTCACTGAACTTAAACTGGGCCAAACCAGTTTCCTGAAATACTGTGAGTGGCTACAGATCTGCATTCCTCCCCTGCGACACTGAGATCGCACCCCGTCTCTTTCTTACAGGACCAGTCAGAATTTCTGACTAACCAGTGACCTAATTCCCAACCCACCTTGGCAGCCTGATGCTATAGAGCTGCTGCCATTTTGTAAAACCTCGAAGCACGTATTCAAGACTTCTTTAATCTGTGATTTCCCAGATTGCAGTTCTAGTTAGCCCCGAATAAATGTAATTTTCCTTCTCAACTAGGACAATTTTCTTCCCAGGCGACACTGTTACAGGTGGTCACCGCAAGTGCTGACTGTGTCATCTTGCACTTAGACCTAACCTGAAAGCCTTTGGTTTATGTCCAAGGAGCTATTCCTCTCACTTCTAACGACCGAAAAGATCAAATTAGAAGCTATGCCTCTTTCAGCTGTTTCTAAAACATAAACACGTTTCTGTGGAGGCGGGAAGTGGGCCTAAGCCACACATGAAAATAGAAGGTAGAGACAGATGGAAAGGGAACGGAGCAGCTGTTGGACCAACAAAAATAAAGGCCCAAGGCGCGTTTGGAAGGAGGGAGGGAAGGGCAGAGAGCCCCCCCGCAGGATGGGTGCTCCAGGGTAATCCTCCTACAATGGAGCTTGCTCCGGTCATTTTTGAGGCATTTCAACAATATATAAATAGGACTTTGTGCCTGAGGTTTAACACCTTAAAATACCTAAGGTGGCTGATGATGTCTGGATTTTTATTCTGTTAGAAGGAAATTAAAATGTATATGTAGAAGCTAATGATGCCGACTGATCAGAAAGGCGTGATTCTCATCTTGTTTTTACTCTTTCTTCGGTTTTCCCTGCGTGTGGAATGCACCCTGTGGATCTTTCGGCCACTTGTGGGTTTGTTGTGTTTTGGTTTAAAAATGCTAATGGTTTGCTCAGGGGTTGTGGTGCTCCCTAGCCTGGGAGCAGAGGACTTGATGTCAGAGGTAGAAGGTCTTCCTTTAGCAAGGTCACCAGAAGACAAAGGGCCGCCTGCTAATCCCACAGCGCAGTCTGGAAGACTCGGGCCATTTGGAAACATGATACCTTTAAGGGTCTAAACGAAGCCCCACATTGTCCCAGAACAAGGGGGTCGGGCTCAGTCTTCTCTCAAGGAAAGCACGGTGCACCTACTGATGTGTTGTTTTCTTTTGTTTGTAACATGTCCCCCTGCCCCCGTGTGGCTCAGTTAATGCATCCCTTAAAGTCGCAGAGAACCCTGGGGACACCTGGCCTGTGCCCTTTGCCCTCAATCCTGTAGCAGGTGGATTACGTCTGGCTCCAGACTTCATGGCCACTTGAATGTTTCTCTCAGCGGCCTAAGTCATGGACGAGAACTTAACAAGAAAACAAGGCCTTACCGGAGGATTTCTGCTCCTGGAAAAGTCTGAAAGCTCCTTACAGAGCACAGCAGTGACAGGCACGAAACACAGGTGTTTTCTTGTTTAAACAGAAACTCAACTAAATGAAGGAGAAAGGGTTTTTCTTCCTGTCTTAACCAGTCCTCAGGTAAATGCAGTAGGTATTGAGCTGCTTTGCTGGGGGACTGGGATTCTGCTGGCCCCTGTTTGATGAGAAGGGGAAAAGAGGGTCTGGAGCAAGATCCTGAGGACAGAGGAGGACCTGTCTAATTCCCAGTATGGCGCTTTCATTCTTTTCCTTTTTTCTTCCTTTTTACTTTTCTTCTTTTCTTTCTCTTCAGTGCTGGAGGTGGAATATAGAGCCTTTACACTGGGCTACATCCCTAGTCACTTTATTGTGAAACGGGATCTTCCTGAGTCACCAGGTTGTTCAGGCTTCGCTTGACCTCTTGATCCTCCTGAGGAGGTGCTGTGATTGTCCCCACTTGCAGGTAGAGAAGGAGACGTGGTGAGATTACACGATCTGCCCAGCAGGCCAGGAATCCAGGTTCCAAGCGTCGAAGGACACTTCCTGTGAGAGCTGTGGAACCCTTCCTTGCCCCTTCTGGTTTCTGGTCGTGATGAAACAACCACGTCCCAAAGCTTACTGGAAGCAGCTAGCGTTTTGCTTATAGAATATTTGTGGTCTTAAAATGTGTATGTCAGAGAATCATAAAAGATAAAATAGGCAGAAAAGGGACAGCATAATAAATAAAAAATAAGAAAGAAGCAGAGAGTAACCACAGAAGTCAAGGATCAACAAAGCCTAAAGCTGATTCTTCGAAAAGACTGATAAAATGGACAAATTGAGGCCAGATTGTTCAAAAAAGGTGCAGTTTTAGAAATAAAAAAATTAACTACATACGTAGCAGATATTTTAAAACTTCAGAAAATTATGAATGCATGACACTTTGAAAATAACATAAAATTCTATATAACTGATTACAATTTATCAACACCATTTCGTGTAAGAATAAGAAAATTGAATGGTCCTACATTCATGAAAGAGTGAATTATTTAAATCATCACACTGTTTACAAATAGTTTTATGAGGAATTTTTACCAAATATTCAAAGAACAGATAATTCTAATCTTAATTCACACTTTTCCAGATAATATAAAATAAAGGTAAGATTCCCCAAGTGATTCTATGAAACCAGTATAACCTAATACTAAAACTATAAAAGGGTAATAGGAAAAGGGAAAATTAAGAAATTTGAAGACGGGATTTAGCTCAGTGGTGCCACTGCCTACCTTGCAAGCTCAACCTCAATGTCCTGAGTTTGATCCCTGGTTCAAAAAAGCAATAATAATCTGTGTAAATAAGTTTGCTAAGGTTCAAGAAGAAAGACCAAGGTTAGTAGTTTTAGGACATGTGATAAAATTTAACATACTAATGTAATTAAAATCTACTGATAAAGAATAGAAGGGAACTCCCAACCTTGTTAAGGGCTATCTAGCAAAAGTCTCTAACAAGTCTGATTTCTCTCAGTGAATTATTCTCAGTGGTTCTTCTCTGTAAAATTAGAAACAAGTTAGAAGCAAAACTAGCCTTCCCACTATGATCATTTTCCTCATCCATCTTACTGAACAATTAGGCTGTGCATGGGATCTCAGAAAACAAAATAATAAGAATTGGAAAAAAAAATCAAGCCATCGTTTTCCACAGACAATATGGTTGCCTCCACAGAAACCCTAAAAGAATCTCTTAATTTATCAGAATGGATAAGAAAGTTTAGCAGGATTGCTAGATATCTGAATACCAAAGAGCAGCTGAATTTTTATACATTGGCAACAGAATGAAAAAAATGTAATCTTTAAATTGCTGATTGTTATAGTAATAAATCATATAAAGTGTTTAGAATGAAAGCAACACAAATGGGCAAGATCTTTTTGGAGAAAATTATGCAATTGTATTGAGAAACAAGGAGGGCCGGCCAAGAAGGGAAAATATTTGGATATATTTATTTTATAGGTAGAGATGATTAATATATCAATTATAAGGAAATAATTGTTGAGCCTGTATGGTGGTGAACACCTGTAACCCCAACACTCGGGAGGCTGAGGGAGAAGAATCACCATGAGTTCAAGACCAGCCTGTGCTACATAGTGAGACCCTGTCTCAAAAAAACGAAATTGTCTCCATATTCATTGACTGATTTAATACAATTCCTATCAGAATTCTAAAAGGCTTTTAATAGGTTGGTTTTAAAGTTTATATTGAGGAACAAATGGTGAAGAATAGCCAAAAACCTTTTTTTTCCTCAGTGCTAGGGATCAAACTGAAGCTTCGTGCATGGTTGGTAAGGGCGCTGCCACTGGGCCACACCCCCAGTCCCTCAAAACACTGTTACAAAATAAACCAAGTCTCTGAAATGACGTTATTGTGTGATACCACACTGTTGCATGCTGAATTTTTCTGATCATTCCAGTAGTGTGGTCTTGGTACCAGTGGGTCAGAGGAGGGTTTGCTTTTACTCAGTCAGCCTCTGCTCTGGGATGTCTGATTCAACTTGAAATAATTAAACTTGGGTAGGAAATTCAAATATATCAACAGGATGGGAGAATTAAAAATCAAATCGACAAACAGTATACTAGTACAATCCAGCTTGGGGAAAGATGAGGCAAAATGGTCACATAAACGTATATCTACTGCTTGCTTGTAGGAATAAGAATTGCTACAGTTTTGGGGGCAAATAATTCAATAGTATTAATTAAAATTAAAAGTACTTCTATTGTTTCGGTTAGGTCATCCTACTCCTAGAAATGACACCTAAAGGAACAGAAACAAATGTGCATTTTGTAAGATGGACGGCTGACCTTTACAAGCTTTCATGATGTAGGCAGACACATAGAAGACGGAAACGCACCCTCTCCACAGGCATGATTGCATTTCCCACAAGGCAGGAATCACCACTGTTCCCTATGTCACATAAAAAACTAAAAACCTCAGTCAGGCCACTTGGTAAAGCACATAGCTAGTGAGGGTGAAGCTGGGATTCAAACTCAACAATGCATCACCCTAACACACACTCAAATATTTCACTGCACAGAGTTCCTGTACATCACTGAAACAAAAATGCGCATGCTCCCCTCCGGTTTATTCCCCTTCCGGTTGAATAAATTGTGAAGCATCCATGCTGCAAAATATTGCAGTGATTAGAAGGACTGAACAAGCTCTAAATGTATTGACTACAAAAATATAGCAGAAAGCTGCCTCTGGTATATTTTTAAATAGATGAGCAAGTTGCAAGGTAAGTTTTATATCATTAATCCATTTCTAAAAGCTATGATCCAGTTGGATATATTTGTATTACAATATAAGTGGGATCAGTAGTATTAATCCTTTTGGCTGCACATCTTAGAATATCTTCTTTTGTAGTTGGTATTCCTACTTTCTTTAAGGAGTATTTTGCTGAATATAACTTAATTTTAATTTACACTAATACTGTCTTTTTAACAACGCCCGTCCTAGCAGGAGGGAAACATTATGACTTTGTACCTCCCTCATGATTAGTGATTTTGAGGGTTTCTAAATATGTCTGTTGGTGATCTGCATGTCTTCTCTTGAGAAATATCTACTTGGGTCTTTGCCCTTTTTTTCTGGGGGGTGTGAGTACCGGCGATCGAACTCGGGCCCTTGCACTTGCGAGGCAGTCGGTGGCACCACTGAGCTAAATCCCCAGCTTTTGCCCTTTTTTAAATCAGGTTGTTTGGTTTCTTGTCATTGCGTAGTTTGAGCCCCTTATGTTTTGGATGTTAGTTCTAGTAGGATTTGGATGTGGCTGCTCCTCGGAAGCTTGGTGCTCAGTGTGACGGAGGTCAGAGGTGGTGGCACCACAACACGGGGCCTGGTGGAGTCCACTGGTCACTTATTTGGAAGGCGCTGAGGTCCTTCTTATGGGACCTGAATTAGTTCTGGTGATTATGGTGTTATCAAACACAAGCCTGACCACCCCTGCATCTTGGCTTCCTGTCTTGCCCGTGCTCTTGCCACTGTGGTGTCACAGTACTGTGATGTCACCCTCTACTGTGATGTCACCCACCATGTGATGGCATCCACCATGTGACGTCAGCACCATGAGAAGACAGAGCCAGGGAGTCCTCATTACAACTGGCACTGCACTGTTTGAACTTTTAGATTCCAAAACTATGAACTAAATAAACCTCTTATCATACAAATTACCCGGCCTCCTATACTTTATTATAGTAACAAAACAGGAACTAACATGACCCCTTTATAGGATGCATGATTTGCAAATATTTCCCACTAACCTGTGGCTTATCTCTTCATTTTGTGGATCTTTTCCCTCTGCTGTGCAGAAGTCCTTTCATTTGATGCAACTGCATTGTCTATTTTTGCTTGTGCTACCTTCTTGTAGTTGATACAGTTTATAACTGTAGAAATTAAAGAGCAAGACAGAATGAGGAAAATGAGCCTGAATTTGAGTAGCTAGACTTGTGCCACCGGCTCATTCTTTTTTAAACTTTCATAACAGCTCTGTGATTCCTCATCTACAAAAAGGAAAACCAACATTCAGAGAAAACAGAATAATTTCTCAAGCTACGAGGGGGCTTCTTACTGAATTCAACACTCATTTCCAGAGGGGAAAGCCTGGTGTCCCAGAGCTGTCCCCAGCCCCAACATTCAGTCTGGATGAAGTGTCCCTGGCCATGCCTCGCAGTCACCCCCAGTTCAGAGAGAGAAGAAAAACAGTAAATAAGATTTTCAGCAACTGAAGGCAGTAGACCCAGTGGGCCCTTCCAAGAACTTGCCACACTTGGAGAACCACAGCTCACAGAACACCCAGGCTTCTTGGAGACACTGTCACCCAGAGTGCAGCCAAGGCAAGGTTGAGGGAAGGAAGGGCAGGTGCTGGGGGACCTTGTACCACTCCCCACATCTCAAAGTGCACCTGACTATAAGAGGCAGATTCCACCAGGTTGATGGCACATGCTTATTATCCCAGCACTCCGGAGGCTGAGGCAGGAGGATCATGAGTTGGAGGACAGCCTGGGTACATAGTTCAGGACCAGCCTGGAATACACAGCAAGATGTTGTCTCAAAACAAGATACAGATTCCTTTGCTGGGGAAGACAGGATTGGGAGAATCTGTGTGAGGGAGATGAGGGTAACTGTTTAGGTGCTATATACAGAAGAAGGCCCCCAGGGTCATGGGAGGCCCGTGTGTGTGTGTGTGTGTGTGTGTGTACACGTACACGTGCTGTTTAGGTGACGAATGGAGGGGAGTGATGTCCCCTGAGCCTCCGGTCTCCCGGTCTGGCTGGCCAAATGGTGACTTAAAGCAAACTCTGCCCACTGAGGGCTCATCTGGGCCTCATCCCCAGGAGCAAGAGGAGAAGCCTGGATGGGGCAGAGTCTGCAGCTCCCCCTCTCCTCTGCAGTGCGGGCCGGCCTGGGCCACAGGAGCCTCCTAAATACCAGTGGCTGGATTGTGAGGAATCCAGCCATGTCCTCAGCCAACCCAAGACACCTGGGCAGGGCCTCAGGTGCCTTCTGGGAGAGCAGTGAGGCGCTGGCCCGAGGCCTGGGGCATCAGCTCTGCCAAACGCCAGCGCATCACTCCGCAGAAAAGCGCTCATTTTTGTCCAGCAGCCCCTCCCTGGGAGACAAGGTGGTCAGAGCTGGCAGAAGCCCGGTGTCTAGGAATGAGGCGTAAACCAGCCTCTTTTTCTTTCGTTCTTTTTTTTTTTTTTTTTACTTTTTTCCCCCCTCTAAGTGACCATTCTCCATGGAAATGTCCCTCTTCTCTCAGCAGGAAACTTTCCATGGGAGGGGCAAACCTGTCATTCCGGGTCTGTGCCTTTTCTGAGTCACCAGAGCCTGCCATGTCCCACCCACACTGCCCTTCCTGTTCTCCAGCGGCCTGGAGCTCCTCCCTGAGTGAGGACGAAGTTGGCTTTTGAGGTCCCTGTGTCTCTCGTGTCACCCACTTGAGCCCAGCAAGGGACACATTGCTGCTTCTCCCTGCCCCATGGAGCTGTTGCCCTCCTCCCAAGCCCCTCTATACACACAGCCCCTTGGGGTCTCTGCAGCCTCCCTCTGCACTCAGAATGCTGAGCACTTGGCCCTGAATCTCACTCTGCTTTTTCTTATTATTTAAGATGTTTGTCATCTTCTGTCTCAAATCAGAATGTCAGCCCCTGGGGGACTGCAGCAAGGGTTGTGCATTTCTAAGGCCATCCTCCTCTTGCAGAAGCTGAACATCCCACACACATGCACACACATGTTCACATGCACAGGCAGAGGAAGAGATGGAGCACAGAAGATTTTGGAGTCAGCGGAAACTATAATATTGAAATGATGGATACATTATCCATTTGTCCAAAGCCGTAAATGTACAACCCAAAGGATGTGAACTGTGAACTGTGGACGAGTTAATAAAAAAATGTATCTATATTGGCTCATCACCTGTAACAAATACAGCACTGAGTTGATGTTGCTAATAGAGGAAACAAAGTGGAAAGTGGTAGGAAAGAACCCTCTGTATTTTCTGCTCAGTTTTTCTGTAAATCTGAAATGGCTTTGAACATGGATGTGGTGGTGCATGCCTGTAGTCCTAGCTACTCAGGAGGCTGAGGCAGGAGAAAAATCAGTTCAAGACTTAACTGGGCAATTTAGGGAGATTTTGTCTTGAAGTGAAAATTTAAAAAAAAAACCCACAGGGCTATAGTGTAGCTCAGCCGTAGACCACCGCTGGGTTCAATCCCTAGTACTAAAAAATGTATTTCTATTTAAATAGAATTAAAACTAGGAAAAAGTTGCCCATTTGAAGTGAATCAGATAAGTCACATCCTGGTACATTCATTTAAAACCAGGGGGCCCATGTCATGGGCCAGGCTGGGCTCTGAGAATTTCACGCGCATGAACTCATTTCAGCCTTACAGGAGGAAACCTATGAGGTTCTCCACTTGACAGGTGAGGAAACTGAGGCCCGGAGAGGTTAAACGGCTTGCTTTCTTCTAAGATTCAACCCCAAGCAGTGTGGTTCTCAGCTGTGCTCCTAACAGTACATGATGCTTTGTTGCTCTTTGCCAAACTTAATATTTTAAAAGAGGGTCTGGGAGGAGATCCAAATGACTAAATTTTAAATCAATTTTTTATGCAATAATTTACATAAAACATAATTGCCCATTTTATGTGTCCAGTTTCATGAGTTTTGGACAATGTGTGTACCAGTGTAAACACCACCCTGATTAAGAATACACTATAATCCCAGCACTTTGGAGGCTGGGGCAGAAGGCTTGCCATAAGTTCGAGGCCAGCCTGGGATGCATAGTGAAGTTCAAAGCCAGCTTGAACACATAGTAAGACCTCGTTTCAAAACACAAAAACAAAAGACCATTTCCATCTCTTCAGAAGTTTCCTTCAAGCTCTTTCCGAAGCCAGTCCACATTGCATTGGGCTGTCACTCAGATGGGTTTCGTCACCGTGGTCTAGAATCACACCGTATGCTTTGTGTGACTGCCTGTTTCTTTCCTTTTCTTCGGTTTTTTTTGTTTTTGGTTTTTTGGGTTTTTTTGGCTCAGCATATTTTTGAAATTTAATTATACTGTTGTATGTATAAGTAGTTTGTTCAAAGGAAATGATTTTTTTCCTATTTTTAAAATTTGAAGATTTCTATTCATATCATTTTATTCCTATTTCCTTATTTACTTCCCGCAGATTTGGGATGCTCTGGTCGGGGTCTGGTATCAGTACCGCTGCCAAACCCTCCAATGGCCCACGCTAGGGGAGACAGCTTTCTGGGGTCCTATTTTTGCGTCTGTCAACGCTATGCTGGGGCCAGATTTCTCTAAAATTTCCACTTGTGTCTCTAAAATTGGTTTTATAAATCGGTCGCAAAGAGCAAGCGCGCCTTGCTGTGCGAGGCGATGGCCACTAAGGGGCTCAGTCTCCTCGGAGGAAGAGGGAGTTGCCTTTTCCTTGCCGGCCCTGGAGAGTCCACACCCGCTAAAAGCGGGTGTGCTAGAACGCTGCAGATTTGTGATAATACGAAAGGCAGATCACACACCCGGACAGATACCTGGCCAGCACAGGATCACTGGAAGAGGGAGCAGCCACGATCCGCACCCTCCAGGCCGGAAGGGACAAATACTCCCGCTCCTTGATGTATTTCCAAATGGCTCTCCCAAAAGATGGGCCAATGTTTATTTGCTTGCTTGGCTGGCTGATTGGCTCTCCTTTTATTTTATCTCGTAGACCGTATGAAGAGCTTCAATTCTATGATTTTAAATTGCCATTGTCCCCATTCTTCCTAATCTGGGAATCACTGATAATGTCAACTAACCCTTTTTCTCCTTTACTCACGTCTCACAGTCTGCCCAGTGTTCTCAGCTCAGTCTGATGCAGGTCACAAAGAGAGGGGCGAGGCGCACGGCCGGGTTCCAGGGTGGCTATGGGGATAGCAGGACGTGACTGGACGGATTCCATGCAGAAGCTTCGCGTGACCCAGAGAGAGGACCATCCAGTGTGCAGACAGTGATGACACCGGGCGTGACACACTATGGGATCCAGAGCCCTGTGGAATGCGGGTCCTCTGCTCTCCTGTCCACCCGGCTCCTTGTTCACACCCCGGCCCCGCCCTGGGGCCCTCTCATCAGCTGGGCCTTCCTGGCCACCCAGAGCCTTCTTCGGCCTCCATCCTCCCCACTCACCTGTGCCTTACTCCGTATCACTGCTCCCACCAGACTCCCACAGCAGCAGCCGTGCCTCTTTGTCTGCAACCCGTCATCTCCCACAGGGAAAAGGAAATAACAGGACGGCAGCGCCTGGCTAGAAAAACAGCGGGTTCTTACTGCAGCGGGCTGGGCTTCTTCTACGTCCGGCCTCTCAGGAGAGGGATTGGACGGTAGATCGAAAAACACAAGGAAAACACCGAGAACCGTCCAAAGCACTAATGAGCCACCCCTCCCGGGTCCTGTCCACAGGTGGGCTCTCATGGTCCCCGTGGGGCAGGAGGTTCTGTCTCTCCTGGCCCTGCGTGGGGTCTGCAGTTCTCACGGATGGGGAGTCCGCAGCTTGCCACACCCCTCCTCCCCACACAGCAGCACCTCAGGAGCAATCTGTACAGTCCAGGGGCCCCAGGTGTATTCAGCGCTTCCCCCCACCCCCGGGCACAGCGAGGGAGGGAGGAGCTCTGCCAACGGGCTGAAGGAGGGAAAGGGAGTCCCCCGTGTGCTCAGTAAGATGGGACCCAGGTTCTATGCTCCGGCAAGCTCCAAACCCATTGTTTGGCTCCTGTGCAGCCGAGCAGGGCCTGCAGGGTGGGGACGGTGGGCGGCACCTCTGGAGTTGCTCACATCACCCACCCCAGCATCATTTGGTTTCTTCTAGAACAGGAGTCTACCGCCGGCCTGCCGCAGACCACTGGGACAGTACTGGGTGCACATTTCACATAATCCCTTTTCCCTGGGGTGGGACGTGGTTAGGCTGTGACTGCTTACTGAGGCCTAGAGGCGGCCCACTTACTCTGGGGATCAGGTAGGTAGCTTTTATCATCCCAGCCTGACCACTCTCCAGCTCTGTGAGTGGGAAAACGGGGAAAGTTGCCTCGCCTTCCTGACTTCTTACTCTGACTTATAACAAAAAGTGGGAGCTACATTACAGCTCTTCAATAAATGTTACTTTCACAGAATAATATTCATGGTGTAGCTAGGAATATGTTGTGAACGATTTGACATCCATAATAAAGAAATGGTTTCATGACTTGGTAGCTTGGAACACTGGAGTAGTCTAGAATCACTGAAACATTGAAAACCAACACAACATAATATAGTAAAAAATCACGGCACCAAAACTGTACCCACCATTTGGTTGAAAAAAAGTATCCAGAAGGAAATACATCAAGATATTTTTTACCAGTGTGAGCAAGGTCTTACAATAGATCACCTGCTCATCATCCTTGATAACTGCTAGAATCCCACACTCATCCACACACAAAAGTCTCTTCCAGTAGCCTCAGAATAATG